TATGTATGTATATACTCATCAATGCATTCATTTATCCACCTGCGATGTCATCTCCATAGCCTCATCACTTCGTTTATCATATTCCATGAGTGCAACTACCATCGCATACCGTCAAGTGGTGTTGTAGCGCATGCTCTGTTGTTCCTTCTGTGTGGCTGTACCTGTTTGTAGAACTTGCGTCAATTGAAGCTTACTGAACCGGAGTTGCGTGTCTTGTACTGATTGTCCAGGTGCTACCACCAGCACTCGTTATCGGTCGTGATATGTACTCAACAAGTACATCGCGAACAGTCCCTGTCATTTGTATTTCGGAGATGATATATACGTCCGGCAAGGTATCTTTCATACGCAATGTACACCATGGACACGCTAAACCGTACCACTACCAACCGGTCCTTCTTGCAAGTAAAGTGTGTGCCCAACGCACCATATCTCAACCCGTGCAGCATCGAGCTTTCCTCATACCTGAGACAATACCACTGCCGTTTGCACAGGCACGGCATTAACCTCTGATGCGTACGATCACTTGGCGGAGTTTGAGGAGGGCGCCTGGATGTGCCGGGACTGCTTCAGACAGGTGTGGCGTGTATCTTTGTGGTGGTTGTGCATTACTTGCAATCTGTGCGTGTGTGGTTATACATACTACAGAGAATATATCATTTCTAATCCACAGACAAACCTACAAACCTGTGAATTGATGATTGAATCATATATATATATATCTATATATATATATATATACATATTAAATGTATGTATGTATGTATGTATGAATGTATGTGTGCGTGTTATGTATGTATGTATGTATGTATGTATGTATGTATGTATGTATGTATATATATATATATATATATGTATGAATTCTATTTATTGTATATATATATATATATATATATGTATATGTATGTATTTGTATTTGTATTTGTATATATATATATATGATCCACACATATTACGTACTCACCTTTTACCTGTCTGTAGAACATTCACCCGAAAGAATCCCCGAGGAAACCCGCCTCCCCGCGTAAAGCGATCGCCGCACTCCCAGTCAAGCAAGATATAGCAGAACAAGACCATGACTCGAATGTGACTGACGACGAAGGTGCACAAGCACCACCCAGAGATCAGATCAAAACAGATGCAGATGATTCTGTGGCAGCACAAGGCATGGATGGTATTATGACAGTGCACGCGACAGATGGTTGTGTGATAGAGCGGGGGAGGGACACAATCAATGGACAAGCGGTGGGTGGGCAGGCTGTGGAGATGAAACACACGCCACAGAACAGTACTATAGTCGAACCCGCGCCGAGTTTAACTCACGGCCAATCAGAAGTCAGAACGTCTATCCAGCAAATGGATGGGGGCAATAGCGGCCCTCCTTCAACTCAGGCCGTCGATAATGCCCCACAAGCAAGCACGAACCTCAATGTGAGCACACACCAACCCAAAATTCACACAACAGGTCAGCCCACGCACCCATCGGCGGCCTTGGATGAACATACGCCTGCCGCAGTTGGGGAGGAGACTCAACCGTTTGTCAGGAGCGAGCCAACGCAGTTTGCAACGGATGTACACCAGGTGCCACAGACACAGCCACAGCAACCAGGGTCTCTGATAGGAGACTCGACTAACCCTGCACAACCCATGAATGCAATTGCGCACGGCACAGCCGGTACAATGCATACTGACACGCTACAGCCGGTTGCCATGGCTGTAGCTGCACAACCCGACGCCGCACCAGTTTCAGTCAATACCTCAGAGTCAGCAGAAAGGGCCGAAGTCAGGCAGCAGCCTGGAACCATCCAAGTCTCACAGCCACAGCAATCGGGACAGAGTGCACCGCAGCACTCCCCATCCTGGCCCACCCAACCCACCCCACCATAGCCCGAACCGCATGAGACAGGGCCACCAGAGGTAGCTATACAGACACAGCTAGAAGCGCGTTTATCGGGGTGCCCTCCCAACCGGCTGTGACCGATTCGACCCCTCTGCAGACAGGTTTTTCGGACAGGGAACAACCGCCTGCACCAGCACATTCTGAGATAGTTGTAGATAACCCAACGCCGTCTTTGTCCCTAACGATGGTCTTCCCGCTGGTTTAATCGGACAAGGGATACTTGGGCCGGCCGCAACCGAGCAGCTCAAGGAAACACCGCCACAGCAGGCCCAAGCAAACGAGCCGGAACAAGCCCCTACGATGAACAACGGTGTGGAGGCGGCTGTGGTTATCCCTCACGGGAAGTCGACCCCGGCGGAACCAGAGCCAGCTCAAGGACAAGCGCATGTACTCGGAGCTGAGCAATCTCAACCGCTTGTATCGCCAGGGTCTGGTTTGCCTTGCTCGGGGCTGTCAGAGGACTCTACTGCTATAAATCGGTTGGGTTTGGATGGCGCAGGTCCTGTACAACCCGAAGTAGTCATCAGGGCAAAGTGTCAGAGCAATTGAAGGCCGGGTTTGAACCACCAGGCGAGAAAATAGCTATGTCCGCAACAGGACAGCCAACCTTTAAGGCGCCCGAGGAAGCCGACCGTCAGGAAGTAGTTGAGAACCAATAAACTATAATGAAAAGTTTCCACCCAACCTGATTGTATTCACAGAGTACCTAACAAACGGTGCTATGCTTCAAATTCAACGGGGTGAGTATGTGTAGTGATACACTAGACTTGCGTCCAGGGCTAGCAACTCTAGTACTAGGCGACTGGTGTACCGCTAATTTCGTTGCCAGGACAGTATACGAAAGTAAGGAATCGAACAATAGCCTGCCTGCTGATCCTGAGAAGTTGTATTTCCTTGATCACATTGGACGAATATTCTTAAACTCGATGTGTATGTGATGGAATTGCAATGTTTCGTTTCGCGTGAAGTATGAATAACATATACGTTTTGCTTTGTTGCGCAGAGTTTATGCCAATACGAATTAGTACTCGTTGCAGTTATGAACACGTATGCGAGCTTTTTTTTTTTGGTGTATTGGCATCAATTGATCTTCGAGGCTAGTTGAGGTGATAATACTTGCACAGGACCATGCGTGTTAAGTCATATATCTGTCCGCTCGAGTAATTGTGCATTCGACCAAAATTGTTCGATTTTATGGCGTCGCACTCAAATTTGGAATAAAATAAGTGTGAAGTATTCGGATTCCGTACCTATGTGTAGTCGACGTTGTCGCAAGTATGCAGTGCATCGGCAAGATATGCTTTTGGTATTTATGACCATCGCAAGAATTCATATCTGTTCGCACTCCATCCATATATTTCGTACTAATTCAATATATTTCGCATCAAATCAACATCGTTCACAATGATTTGATTACGATTAGTGTTCTTCTGATCAGATTACATTACCTGATACCGCGTAGAAAATTAGTTTCTAAACATAGTTCTGCTATATCATCGTATGCTCATACATCAACATACACGCCCACAGACTGTGATATCTGCAAACAAGCCCTAAAATCTTCCAATTAAAAGCATGACTTTGTAGTGATGTCAGGGTCGCGCACCTGAGGGAAAAGCAGTGGCAATTGATTATGAGCATTTCTTGTCAGACTCCTAGCCGCGAGGCGCTTGTACAATTACCATACGCGCCAATGAAGGCTGGTGATGGTATAGCACGCTTATGTATGAGAAAGTACTCGGCTACCGTAGAGGTCTTTGAGTGCTAGACACAAGTAGAAGTAAGAGCGCGATTGGCCGCTGTGTTCTGTTTTAGTTACGATAATCCAACAATGGTCATGAGCTATATGCCAAAAAATAAACATTGTGGTGAAAGTGACCAAACCTATTTATTAAAGGTCATCAATAATACATATGGTTGCAAACTAATAGGTATGTCGAAGGTCTGTATGGACTCTTACAGTGTAGTTGGTCTGCAACCTAACTGGTGAAGTCTTTTATAAAAACACGTTTATACATCGGTAGACACACTTGTAGTTGGATATACCAGTTGGTAGAGTCCCTACTGTGCTCGTACTCTCCTTCTCTTTCTATTGTACTTCTACTTCCTAACTATAGTGGCCAGGAAAATGCCTTTTGAATCACTATTTTCATATCATATTAGTGGAATTAGAATATTCATAATAATAATGAAAATAATGAAAATAATAGTACTGATTCGAGTCATCTTCATCCGTGCAGATCATATTGAATACGAACCTTTGCTACGCATGGCAGCAAGAAAACGAAAGTTTGCGATGAAGGACAAATGAACTGTTTCGCGTAGCAATAGTACAACAGTTGTGGAACAAGTGTGGCGCGTTGGATAGTGGAGCTTATAAAATAAGTATGTGTGAATTGGATACTCAGACTTGACTAGTATGCCTATGCGAGCTCCAGAATGTCCTTTATCTTCGTCACAAAAAGATTCAGTAACTAATACAACTGATGTGAGAGGCAAGTAACAGCGAGTGCTTTGAATTCGGTGAATGATTCGCTAATACTGCCAAGGTTTGCAGGTAGAGATTGATTGACTATTCAACCGGAACAATCCCATAGGCTTCATATATCTCACCCCTGCCAGTTATTCACAGATAATTGACTGTTTTAATAAATACTGGAGCGAATGACGCGTTTCACAATCTGTACATATGAGGCGACAAAAGAAACTGTGCTAGGTATAAGTAAACACAAGAAAATGTAATTGGTTGGAATAATCAAGCTATTTTGAATCGAATGTTCATCTTTGAAGATTTGAAACGTACGAAAAGATGTTTTAATCGAATGATTTAATTTGGGTAGAACTGATGATTTTACATAAAGAATGCAAAATCTGAGAGAGCCTCCAATTTCATAAATATTGCGATTCGTTATAGGAACGAGATTATATCATTTTTAATTCACAAGATGTCGGATTCCATCGGAGCGATTTATGTCAATTGAGCTGGAGATGGATCTTTATATTCAAAAGGGAAACACCAGCCATATAGATGATATCGACGAGCGGAAATTTTTATTACTAAATCTGTGCGACGTAATTTTCAGTTGTTTTAATTAGTCTTCCTAAATATGCACCGATATATAAAATCCGATGCCAAAAATATAATTGCAGAATGATCTGAGGAAATTCGAGTTATATTCAGTGTATTACATAAATTTAGGTTTACTATTGTCCGACAATCAAGATGATCCAATGAAATTTGAAATACTAACATACCGAGCACGGCAATCAATTGTTGTTCAACTTATGTAGTTGCTCGTTCACCGATGAATACGTTTATTAGTTGCTCCTCCATCAAAATACTTTACTCAATGAAAGAAGTGACTGCCAGTACTTCTTCGTCTATTTTTGTTCCGGGTTTCACTTAAATAAGGTCAACAAACATTTCATCGCTCCAATAAAAAAGTATAAACATCATATTGTCAGCCAGCATCAAAGTCCAGAGATAACCTCTAACAACTTTAGAAACACTCCGTTTCTGCTTAGGAACGTATAGAAGCGTTTGGATGTTGACTAAGTTCTATCCGGTTGTTCTCTTTCAACAGTTGTCCCTATTAAGTAGACTTTGATCTGAAAGTGTTCGAAAGGTTTATTAGATTATATTTGGTACTAGACTGGTTGCCGATAATCCCGAAACAGAGTGGTGTTCGGTGAGCGAAGAGAAAGCAGTGGGTTCTCATTATTGAACTCAAAATCAACATTATTATCACAAAAGGAGGATGTGCTATAAGTATAAAATTTACTGGAGGCGCTAAAAACAAATCTACAAGTTCAAAGGGATAGAAAAACAAATAATTAGACAGTCAGGCGATTATCGTTGCCTACTTGTCGTCGTACTAGTGTATATCAGAAATGAGAAAACCAACTATTCGTCTCGCACTCGTTCACTATGAAATCTTGATGTTGCCTGGTTGCCGATAAAACTGAAAAAAACAACAAGTAGTGTTCAAATAGCAAAGTAAAAGCTAGTGGGTTCATCTAATAAATCAGCAGTTATATGGAAAAGGTAGAACGTGTCCATGATTGTAGAAAAAAGCAGTGATAATTTCCAAATTCATTGGAGGCGTTATGAAAAACACATCTACAAGTTGAAAGGAATAGAAAAACAAACAAATACGCAGTGAGTCGACAATCGTTACCGGCTTGTCGTTTTCCAGTAGATAATAGAAATTATAGAAACCATCTATTCGTCTTGCATTTGTTCACTATATAATTTGGATGTGGCAGTGTCATTTTTTTCTATTACAGACAATCGATACGTTGCCAGGGTAGACTACTGTGCGATAAAGCCATATAAATCACCGGTAATATTTTGTGCGGGTGGCTCGAAGTAAACCTGATCCCGATAAGCTTAAAGCTATATAAACTGTTTGAATCCATGTAGATCGACGGCTTCGTGTAAAATGCTTTCCAGTGCAAAACTATACAAGCTTTTGGAAGGTCGGTTCCAACTGTTCATTGATAATCGTAAAAGAACGACTTTCATTCTGACTTTCGGTGTGATGATTGCAAAGTCTTCGGAAACATGTCGATACACAGCTGCTTCTACATTCAGTCGTGGAATCAATACAACTATGCTTTAAGAGCAAGGAGTTGTGGGGTTTTAGGGTTTTAGAATTTCCACTGGATTGCACAACAGGAAATAAGCATGATGTGGCAACCTGCTCTTACACCCACTCTTTGATCAACACTAAGGGTTTTAGTATAGCTGAACAGAAAACATTGTTCAGCAGCGCAATTAATTCATTTGGGGCATCGGTCTTATTTTCTGAACCCTTCATTTATATTATCGATGTATTATACAAGTTCTTGCCTTTTTTTTACCATACGACTAGGGCCGCTGTTGTTGATTTATCTTTAACATCTCTATATCTTTCTGCCCCTGCAAACGTTTTTTATGCACCTTATCATCTACAACGGTGGCGCTGTCACTAGTATCGCCGTCAAT